CCAATGTCATAAAACAACATGTGTACTTCTGTTTCATGAGAAACTATTTGTTCTGTAAGCCTTCACCTGAAGTACAATAAAATAAATAAATAAATAAATAAAATTTGAATGTTCAGAGGAGTCAGTTTTATTCTAGATGTGAGTTACTTAAAAATCTGTTACAACCGGAAATTTGGAGTGTATACAGAATTTTTAAAAATTAACATCTAAAATTTATATAGCAGTAGTAACTTTTCTGTTGATAAAACTATACTGTTTTTCACTATCATACTAAATTCTCAATATGCAAAACATTTAATCAGCAATTTGTATAGGTCTAGATCTGGTTTTGAGGAGCCCTGGTGGCACAGTGGTTAAGAGCTCGGCTGCTAACCCAAAGGTTGGTGGTTCGAACCCATTAGCTGCTCCACAGGAGAAAGATGTGGCAACTTGCTTCCGTAAAGATTTACAGCCTTGGAAACCCTGTGGGGCCATTCTACTCTGTCCTATGGGGTTGCTATTAGTTGGAATCAACTTGATGGGAACGAGTTTGGTTTGGTGAGATCAGGTTTAAGTACATTAAACTTCTAACAGACTTAAAGTATTTATTGAGTGTAAAGAAAACATACAGTCTGTACAGTAGCTCGACATTTGTGGCTTTAACAGTCTTAAGCATTTGCTACCGTTACCCATTGCCGTCTAGTCAGTTCTAACTCATAGTGACCCTATAGGACAGAGTAGAACTGCCCCATAGGGTTTCCAAGGAGCAGCTGGTGGATTCGAATTGCTGGCCTTTTGGTGAGCAGCCGAGCTCTTCAACCACTGCGCCACCAGTGCCCCAAGCATTTGCTAGTCACGCTAAAGGTCCATGTTAAGGCCCGTGTTATGCAGTAATTGATAATTTTGGTGGGGCATATTTTTTCATAGGTAAAATTTACATACAGTCAAATGCACAGATTTTAACTTGTACTATTAGAAGCCATGTAACTTCTACATCAACCAAGATGGAAAACATTTCCATCAACCCAGAAAATTCTCTCATGAAGCACAAATTAGAAAAACCCTGCCCCAAGGCTAAGGTACAGGACTGAGACATATAGCTAATGAGTGAACCAAGCCAGTTATCCAACATCTATTTCTACATCACAACATAGCTTTTTTTTAGTTCCCTACTCCTTCTCTCATGCAGATTATAGGGCAAGTTATTTGATAGAATGGATTGCAGGGTCTTTTGATTACAGAGTAAGAAAATGGCCCTTGATGTTAGAACATAAAACCACACCTAAATTCAAAATGGAAATGTGAAAAATTGAAAATGTTTCCTATATAACTATTTGGACTTCTCAACATTGAAAACAAGAAGACATTAGAACAATGTCTCCAAAATCATGAAGGAAAATTATTTCCAACCTAGGATTCTACATTCAGCAAAATTACCAATCAAATGTTACAGTAAGAAAAGACATTTTCAGCAAATTTTCGAAAGTTTCCTTTCATTACACTCTTTCCCAAGAAGTGTCTTAACCCAGAAGTCTCCCTTTTTCTTTATATCCACTTCTTTGTTGAGAAAATGAAATAATGGATTCCTTGACAACTTTATTATAAGAAGCTAATGCAACTAATTCTGCGTAAACAGTTTAAATTAGAGATAAAACTTTATCATTATTTGGCTCTTGGAGAATTACAGAATTAAATCTGGTCAGTGTCTTGTGGAATTTACTGCTTAGTATCACTACAAAGGTTAGGCAGAAGGGAGCAAATTAATTTTGCTACTTGTTAGTAGTTCCTACAAGGAGGAGAAAAAGAGAGACGTAAATTGCCTTAAAGGGTTTTTTTTTTTCGGGGGGGGGGGTGGATAATTTTTGAATTTAACAGATTCATATTTGAGAACTACTGAAAAGAGTGGATATTTTGGGGCTATGGCAAAGTGTTTCAGAAGTAACCAGAGCTTTTTAACAACTCTGTGAAAGTTTGGAATAAAAAAATCTTGGACATTAAGACAATTACATGTTTGTCTTATGAAAACTAATCACACATAAAAAAGTATCAGTATTCAAAAATCATTATAATGATAGGGCAGAAGAATATTTAACACATGGAGAGAGATTACCAGGTATTACAATATGATAATATTTATATGAAAATACTAGATGAACAGATACCAAAATACTAATAGTAGTTACCATCGGGAGGTAGGATTACATACTTATGATTTTAATTTCCTTGCTGAAATTTTCTAAAGTTGCTGTATGTATTTTAAAAAGCATTTAAAAATGATATACTTCAAAAGGAATAAGAGCCTATTTTAACAATGTAAAATGAAGAAAGGTTACGGAGGTGGAAGAAGGCAGCCTATGTGATTTTGTATATGTGGTTTCACTTGATTTGTTCTTCAGTAATCTTTTTCCAATCATAAAGTCCCTTCTGTTACCAAAGAAAATCGCCTAGCATCCTGAATAAAAGTAATTTCTTTGTCAGTTATAAATTGCTTTTCAAAGATGCAGCTAAAAAAACTGATTCTTTTGATCATAAGTATCACTTAGTATTGTTATCAATTATTAACTTGCTATAGCTTGGTAAAGGAGTCCTGGTGGCACAGTGGTTAAGAGCTCGGCTGCTAACCAAAAGGTCAGTGGTTCAAACCCACCAGCCACTTCACCAGAGAAAGATGTGGCAGTCTGCTTCCCTAAAGATTTACAGCCTTGGAAACCCTACAGGGCAGATCTACTCTGTCCCACAGGGTTGCTATGAGTTGGAATTGACTCATCAGCAATGGGTTTGGTTTGGTTTTATAGCTTGGTAAAATCTTAATTCTTTGATTCTTGAAAAATCTTGGCAATAACGTTGCTGTTATTTGGTTGACACACACACAAAAAAAAAAGACAGAAAAAAAAAAACTTTTCTGATCCTTTTTCTGATCTTCCTGATCTTTTTTAATTAAGGGGGAAAAAAAAAGTAATACATGCACTGGTAAAATATGCAAACAGTTCAACAAACACTTACATAAAGGAAGTGTTTCTCCTAACCCAGATACCCAATCCTCTTCCTAGAAGCAATCACTGTTAAGTCTCTTACCTATCCTTCCAGAAATGTTTTATGCATCTGCAAAAGATATACATGCATATATCTTTTTCTTAAACAGATCGCAGCATACTGTACATATTCTTTTGCACTGTACTTTTGTTCATTCCTGATTCTTTTTAAAGACAAATTTTTAAGTGATATCCATATAGGACAAGGCTTATTTAAACTATTTCATTTAAATTAATAAAATATTTTACAATAATTCACAAAATTTAAAACATAAAAATTGCCAACCTTTTCTGGTGTTAACTTCATAAGTTCCATGTTTTCCATACTACGTCGGCGTCCCAACTTGGGGCGTGCACCTTTGTTAAAAAACACACACACACACACAAAAAAAAAATTAATTCATATAAACCAGGAAGCCCTTAAGATTACAAATCCAGCATTACTATGTTAGTTCTAAAGACTGATCCAGAAGCCCCTGTGGAGGGGGAAATATGTACAAAGCAGAAAGAATTCTTATTCTTTCAATTTGGAACTCTTAAGAATAATGATTTTCCATACCAGCTACGTAAAAATAGAATGTTCACTCCCTTTAAAATGCTTTGATTGAAGGATGTTACATTTTGGTTGGAAACTAACATTGGTTACTAACCTTACCCCTTAATTTAGAAAGGGCATTTTATAATAACTGGTTTTACAGTACATACACAGTCTCTTTAAAAAAAAATTGTACAGTGGTTTAAGTAAGTGAAAACATAAGGAAAAGGCTTTAGGACTTCAATTTTGAGAAAAGCAAAGAATCACAATAATATCCCCATTACTACATTGTTTCTTTCTAAGCTACCCCTTTCCATTTTAAAATCTCATAAGATACATTTACTGCCAGTCATGAACCAACTTAAATAAAAAGCAGAATCCTACAAAAATTTTTTCAATAAAGGTATCATTAAATAAAAAGAACTTTAATATCCAATCTTTTACAAAAAATCTAACAGTATTTAAGAAAACATAAGGAATATCTGATACGTAACACCCAGTTTAAGAAATGAAACACTACCCACACATTAAATCCTCCTTGTGTAACTCCGAAATAACCTCCTCTTCTCTCCACTTCTATATATTTTTATGATATATGGATGTATCTCTGAGCAACATGGCATTATTTGCATGTTTTGAAACTGTATATAAATAGAATCATACTGTATGTATTCTGCAACCTGCTTGCTTTGAGCAAACTTATGTTTGTAAGATTCATGCAAGCTGATATGTGTAGTTTAGTTTAATTCATTTTCATTGCCATTTTAGGACTAGAAAATAATTCATTTATCCATTCTACTAGTGACACACATTTAGGTTGCTTCCAATTTTTTGCTATTATCAACAATACTACTTTAGAAATTCTTGGAAATGTGTCTTGGTGTACATGAGCAAGTGTTTCTCCACAATATAAGTGGAAGGGGAATTATTGGATTTTAGGTTGGATACATTTTCAACTTTACCAGATGTTGCCAGATTGTTCTTCAGAGTGTACCAATATATATTCTCATCAACACTGCATAACATTTTCCATTACCATACATCACTTCAATACTGGTATTATCAATTTTTAATTTTTGTCCACCACATAGGTTTTCAATATTATCTCACTATGTTTTTCCCCGACTAAACAACACTAAATATCTCTTCACATATTTATGGGCCATTTGTTTCTTTTCATTGCTTTTGCTCATTTTGGTTGGGTTATTTGTCTTGCTTTTAATTCATAGAGTTCTTACACATTCTGGATACAAAACCTTTTTCACTCATATATGTGGCAAATATCTCTTCTCAGTTTGTGTTTTATTTCTATAGTTTCTTTTGATAAAAATAAGTTAATTTCAATGTCAATGTTTTCCTTAATGGTTTTTGTTTTTTGTGTCTTGAGAAATCCTCCTCCTCTCTGATATCATGAAGATACTCTCCTATACTTTCAGAGAGATGATACAGCATATCCCTTGAGAACATGGACTCTAAAGCCAGACCATCAGTTTAGAGTTGCAGCCCCATCATTCACTTGCAATATGACCTTGGGCACTTACCTTATCTGTAAAGAATAACAGCACCTACCCCATGGCATAGTGCGAGGTACACAGTGTAATAAGTAAATGCATCATTATCTGAAAAGTCTGTCCAATGCCTGGTATAAGTAGTAAGCACTCAGCAAGTGTTAGCCAGTCTCATCATTATTACTTTCACTATCTTTCACAGTTAAACTCCTTAACCCATCAAGAATTTATCTGTATAACAAATATTAGTTTCCATATATGCAAGGAATATAGGCTTTATATTCCATTTCACTGGTCTATTTGTCTATCTCTATGCCAATACCAAGGAGCCCTGGTGGCACAATGATTAAGAGCTCAGCTGCTAACTGAAAGGCTGGCAGTTCGAACCAGCTGTTCTGAGGGAGAAAAGATCTGGTGGTCTGCTTCCACAAAGATTACACTAGGAAACTCTATGAGGCAGCTCTACTCTGTCCTACTGGCTCACTATGAGTCGGAATTGACTCGAGGGCACCCGACAACATGCCAACACTACACTGTGTTAATTACTGCAGCTTTATAATAAGTCTTCATATTTGTAGAGAAAGCACTTCTCATATCTTGTTCTTCATCAAGAATGTTTTGGCTATTCTCAGACTTTTTTTCTTTCACAAACATTTGTGAATGACCTCATCAAGTTCCACAAAAGAATTGATTTGCTTGGGAGTGCACCGAATTTATATCAATTTGGAGAGAATTAACATCTTAACAACATTTAATCTTTCAATTAGAGCATGATTTATCTTCTATCAATTACTGAGAGAGATGCCTTAAAATCTCCCATTATAGTTGTGGATTTTCCTATTTCTCCTTTTAATTCAGTCAGTTTTGCTTTATGCATGTTGATGCTGTGTTACTGTTAAGCACAAATTTAAGACTTACATCTTCCTAGTGAATTGCACCATTCACCACTGAGAAATACCATTGTGAAGTGATCTCCTTCATCTCTAATAAGATCTCTTGCTTAAAATACATTTTATCTGATTAACATAGTTATACCAGCTTTCTTTTCGCTAGTTTTCACATGGTATATTTTTTCTATCCTTTTACTTCCAGACTTCCTATATCTTTAGATGTTTCTCTTGCAAGTAGTGTGTAGTTAGATTTTCTGCTTTTTTAAATCTAGTACTATATCTTTTAACTGAAGCATTTACATTTAATGTAATGCTGATACATTTGGATATTGGGTTATTTTCTCCTTCAGTCTGTTTGTTTGTGAATTACATTGACTAATTTTCTAATATTGAATTCACTTGGATTCTGCTTGACTGTTTTTAAACACACGGCTGGATTTGGTTCACATAGATATTAAGATTTTTGTATCAGTGTTCATGAGTAACACTGGCCTGTGATTTCTCCTTCCTGTACTGTCCTTATCTAGTTTATCAAGGTTATACTGTTCTCAGAAAGACTGATAAAATGTTCTCTCTTTTTTAGTTATCTATACAATTTTGTGTATGGTTGGAAAACATTTTCTTGAATGCTTGGTAGATCTCACTTGAAAAACCAACTAGGCCAGATATTTTCTTGGTAGGGGCCCTGGAGGCAAAGTGGTTAAGAGTTTGGCTGCTAACCAAAAGGCTGGCAGTTCATTCCACCAGCTACTCCGTGGAAACTCTATGGGGCAGTTCTACTCCCTCCTGCAGGGTTGCTGTGAATCAGAACCTTAGTGGGAAGATTTTAAATTACTGATTCAATTTGTTTTTAGGCATTAAGGATGCAAGTCATATTACATTCTACCATTAACTTTTTCTGTTTTTTCTTGATTCAGTTCAGTAAGTTGTTTTTCTGCAAATTCTCCGTATCTCCTAGGTTTTCAAATGTTTTGTCATAAAGTTATTCAGAATAATTTATCTTTTTATTCTCTGCTGTGTCTGTATTATGACCTCTTCTTTATTTATTTTTTCCTTGATCATGCTGGAGATTTACTCTGAGCTTATCCTGTGTTTTTTTTTTTTTTTTTTTTTTTTTTAACTTCTTAAGCTGGATATTTAGCTCACTTATTTTTGGCCATTATCCTTTTATATATAATACAATGTAAATTTTGCTGTATGTACCAATTTAAGTTGCATCCCACAAATTTTGAAATATACTATTTATATTACCATTTGGTCCTAAGTTATTTTCTAATTTTCTTTAAGATTTCTTCTTCAACTCACTTAGAAATATATTTCTAAGTTTCCAAATAAATGTTTCGTACATTACCTTGTTATTAATTTGTACCTTAATTGCACTATTCTGAGGAGATGAAATTTATGCGATACAGATTACCTGAAATGTGTTGAGATTTGCTTTATTGGTTTAGAAAGTGGTCAAATTTTTGTAAATGTTTCATGCACACTTAAAAAGAACATGACTAGGCCAGTTGCTAGGTTCAGTATCCTGTATGTCTATTACATTAGTGGCTTTCACACTTTTCAACTGTGACCCATATAGGAAATACATTTTTCACTGTTAACCCCAAACATACATACACAACTATATAACCAAAAATTTCATGAAACACTTCTTGCCCTTATCACATGTTGTTTACTCAGTTATGTGTTTTGTACAAATACATACACGTGTGTGGTCTTACCTCTGCTAAATTCCTAGGAGCACCACTAATCTGAAAGCACTTTATTGGACTGAGGTTTTTTAGACTGTGCAAGCGGTATAAATCAAATTCCAAACCAATATGTAGGCAGGCTTATGAATTTAGATTCTTAGGGGAGATTTTTTTTTCTCTACCCTGAGCAACACCAGAAACAGACAAGTTTCTGTGCAGCCCCTTTGGCCAGCAGCCTGCCTGGCACTGGGAAAACAGTGAACAAAAGAGACAAAAGAAGTACTTGTTTTCATGGAGCCAGACTGTGGAAGGAGATGAGGTTAGAGAGGTAGGCTGGGTAAAGATAACATAAGGCCTTTTATCCGTGGCGAGGACTAAGGATTGGGTTCTAGGTGTGATGGGAAGTCACTGGAGAGTTTAAGCAGATGAATGATATGATTTACATTTTAAAAGAGCACTCAAGCACTGTGTGGAAAAGTCAGTGTGAAGGATCAAGAATGGAAGAAAGAAACAGTTGGTAGGCTAGTACTCTACTAAGATATTGGTAGCAGCTTGTACTAAGGTTGTTGCAGTAGAGATTTTAAGAGAGATTAAGGATATATTTGAAGGTAGAGTTTCTGGTAGGTTGGGTGTGACTGAACACCTGGGTGAATGGTGGTACCATTTCCTGAGATGAAGTAGACTGGAGGAGCATGTTTAGGGACAAAAAAGCAAGAGTTCTGTTTTGGATATGTTAAGTTTTAGACATCAATTACACATTCAAGTAGAAATGTTAAATGGGCAGTTACATATATAAATTTGGACCTCAAGAGAGAACTTAAGGCTGGAAATATAAATTTGAAAATCATCAATACACAGATGATCTGAAAGCCAACAACTAGATGATATCACTAGATCTGTGCTGTCCAGTATGGTAGCTGCTAGTTACATGTAGCTTTTAAAATTTAAACTAATTAGAATCAAATAATATTAAAACCTCAATTCCTCTTCCATACTAGCCATATTTCAAGTACTCAACAGCCACATATGGGTAGTGGCTATTATATCAGACAGAATAAATATACTTCCATCATCACAGAAAGTTCTATTGGGTAGCACCAATCTAGAATATAGAAGAAAAAGGAAAAGGAAAGAACAAAATAAGAAAGGAGAAATGGATGGATGCAAAATAGGGAGGAAAGGAGGGAAGAGGGAAAAGAGGTCCAAGGACTAAAATCTGGGTGCTATAAATTTAGAGGATGGAAAGAGAAAGAGGAGAGAGTAAAGAAGACTGAGAGTGGCCAGTGAGGTGGAGGCAAACCAGGAAAGTAGGGTATCCTGGAGGCCAAATGAAAAAAGTATTTCAAAGAGGGAATACTGCATATGCTGCTGAGAAATCAAGATGACATCTAAAAACTAACCAATGTGTTTGGTAAAATGGAGGTCACCGGTAAACTTGAAAAGTGGTTTAAGTGTCATTATGGGGCCAAAGTCTGAGTGGAGTGGGTTGAGAAGAGAATGGGAGGTGAGGAAGTAAAGACAACGAGTGCTGATATCTTTCTCAAGTTTTGTTACAAAGCGGAACAGAGAAATGGGTCTACAGATATAGGGTTTCATGAGGACAAGTGACAGCTTTTTAAAAGACAGAAGCTCTTACAGCATAACATATCTGAAAATTAAACAAAGGAAAACCTTTTATCCTATTATTCAATTACAAAGCATAGTCACAATTTATTATACAGCTCAAACTTCAGAATTTTTCACTGTATGTTCTTTCGAAGTCTCAATCAGATGCCTAGCCACTAATTTCTTTTCTTCTTTCTCTTCATATGGGTTTAGAGAAGAAAGTTGGAAAGATAAAAGCTACATTTTTCCGTGACTTTCAAGTTCCAAATGTGTGTCAGTAATTTTTTTCAGACTGTGAATTTCTTAAACTTAGGGACCATATCTTGAAAATGGATCTACTACAGAGTCACATATAAACGGTATTTAAAAACGTGGTTCTAATCGTGTCCCTTTTTATTTAATTAATCAAAAGTACATTTTTTTTTTTTTGCCTAAAATCAGAGACATTCTAGCATGTTTTTCCCTGTAGTAATGTCAAACCATGTCAATACTTAAAGGAAGTTTCCTAGGTTTTCTGAATAAAAAGAAGATAAAACAATCCTAAGAGATTGTACCTTAGGAAAAAATGGAAATGGGGGAAAAAAAGAGCTAAAAAAACCCAAATATAATACTGTATTCTATACTGATAAATTAACAGGACTATATAAAACAAAAAAGGTGTAAAAGTTGAAATTCCTATGTTATATATTTGCTCTGAGTATGGTTAAACATGTGTGATAAATAACTTAAATTCAGATCTTGAGGATAAGGAAATTGAGTTTTAGAAGACCTATTACTTACCATGCAAACTGTTATCAATTTCAATATTTTCAGACATTATGGAACTATTTGTGCTGTAGCTCAGACCAAGAACCATTTGAAGATCGGAAAGATTCAGACGTGCTGTTAGTTCACCACTTCTATCCCCAACCTACAATCACAAGCATTTATAATTTAAACACAGGCAAAGAATGCTGAAGATTAGTTGAAAGTGTTGTGAACCTAAGACTGGAAGAAAATTTAGATAAATGAAAATAGTTGTATTAGAGTTATGGGACTATGAAATAGTTTTATCATTTTTTTTTTTTTTTTTTTTTTTTTTAAGAATATAGACAGAAAAGGAAACGGGGGGCGGTTAACAGTGATGGAAAAATCACACTGATTAAGGGTAGGGTTGCACAGCCGACTATTGTAATTGCTGTTAATAAGTTGTATACCTGTAGAAAGTTGAATTGGCAAAAGTTGTGTGACGGATATATTTACAACAACAACAAAAAAAAGAGTAGCTGCTGAGGCTACTTATGTACAACCAAACACCTCACAGGATTTGGCTCCTTGGTTTGGAGGTTTAGGGTCATGGTTTCATGGGACATCCCAGTTAACTGGCCTGATAACATGTTTAGTGCTTCTGTTCTGCCTCCTAGTTTGCTGCATAATCCCTGGGGTCTTAAAAGCTTGCAAGCGGCCATGCAAGGCACAACAATTGGTTTCTATTCACCTGGAGCAAAAGAGGAAGAAGAAGAGTCAGGAATAGGAGGAGGATGTGGAATGTGCAGCTAATTGCCTCCATGAACAACTGCCTCTTTTGCCATGAGACCAGAAGAACTGGATGGTGCCCGGCTACCACTGCTGGACATTTTGATCAAAGATTCCATTGAAGAATCCTGATCAAAAGGGGGAAAATGCAGAACAGAATTTAAGATTCTTATGGACTCTAGACTTCTTGGAGCCATGGAGGGTGGATGAACCCCTGAAATTACTGCCCTGAGATAATCTTTAAACCTTAAACTCAAAATATCCCTGAAGTCATCGTCAAACCAAACAACAGTTTAGCTTAACTAGTAAAAAAGGTCTGCCTTGGGCATTATGCTCTTTAAGAACTATCTATATGTGAGCAAATCAACAACAGCAACTCAAAAGATTAGATAAGAACTTTAGGGGCAGTGAGTTTGTATTAATGAGGGAGGAACAACCCAGAAAAGGAGGGTGAGAATGGTTACACAACTCGAAGAAAGTAATCAATGTTACTAAATTGTAGGTGTAAAAATTGTTGAACTAGTGTATGTTTTGCTGTGTATATTCTCAAAAACAACAAACTAAATAAAATTTAGGGAAAAAAAGGGAAGTTTTTAAAATATGGCAGTATAACAGCTAATTACATTCTATGAATTCTTTTTCGTTCTCTAAATATTGGATTGCTCTTATTGTCTAGGATTGTATTAAATGATAATCTAGGTTATCCCATGACACATTAATTTGACATCACACAAATGAAATTTCCATAGAATATTTTATTTCTATACAATAATAGAAGTTAACATTTATTATGCCAGTGCCAGACATTATGCTAGACACTTTTAAACACATTATTTTATATATATTTTTATATACATTACCCCTAATCCTTAAAACAATTTGCAGTTATTATTCTCATTTTACAGACAGAAAAATGAGGCTCGGAAAAGGTTTCCAAGCTTAAATAGCTAGCAAGTGACAGAACTGTAATAGGAACTCCTTGATTCTAAAAACCATGTTTTTTCTTCTATACCATGCTACTTCTCTGTGTAGGGTTGGGGGTAGGGTGGAAGCATACTTTAGTAATGTCCTCCTACATCAAGGCCAATGCAAACATACCTCTCATCTATACCTCAAAATGTTCTGTGCAGCTCTTATGCCAAGAGAATAATAGATAATCAAATGTATTCGGCCATACAGGAGCAATCTGGAGAAATAATAGTTTTCTCCCCACTAATTTGTAAGTCACAGTAACACAGACAGTTTAGTTTCATACCTCTCTTGAAATTTCCAAGTGCTTTTCGGCAAAGTGCATTGCTTGATCATGATTTCCTAGCGCTGTGTACGCATTTCCTAAGCTCCAGCAGGCTCGTCCTTCACCAATTCTGCAACATAATTCATAGCTAACATGCAGTTATCTGAAAAGAGGACTATGTGTAGAATAAAAGCTATTTAGCAGTAATTAAAGATATAAACAATGCTTTGGATTTGGTCTTTCATATAAAGAGTATACCATCAAGATACTAGAGACCTATTAGAATACCCAGATAATACTAAACTCAGAATCAAGTATCAAAAAACGGAAAACATTCCTTTAAAAAATGCAAAGCATTATAAAATCTCAGGGGTAGGTTTACCCCATTTTCTTTCTATGACATCCCTACCACGTAATCATTCAGTCTGTGTTTGGACACCACCAAGGAGAGAGAACTACCCCCCTCTTTATTTTTAAAAACTGTATCAAAAATTTCTTTCTTATATTGAGATAAAAATCTGTCTCCCTAAAGCAAACAGCATAGGACTAATGATCTACAGAGATATGCTGTTTATCCATACACTTAAAAAGAGAATCAGCCAACAACATTCATAAACCAGAAGACTTCACATAAAACTAAGGACTTCTAGCTTCTCTTGAAAAAAATGGGAAGATGTAGCCATATGGGCCCTAGTTCCTGCCTGGCAGCAGTCAGCTGGCGTCGAGTAGCAGCCGCCCTTTACAGTGGGTGTTATCTCTAAGTTCACCAGAATTCCCACACTGACCCAGTCAGGTAGTTGAGTTTGTGACCTTTTCACTGGTCTTGGTTCAACACCATATGAAGCCAGTCTAATCCTCTATCACAAGCTAGGCCTACAAACAATAATATATGAAGGATATTATTGAAACGGAGGACATTCCTTTAAAAGGAATTTAAAAAAAAGACCAAGGAGACAAAAGGAAAAGAAGCTAAATGAAAAACAGAGGAAAAAATCTAGAGATTCATCACGCATCTATATTTTACCAAAATTATAGTAAAAAGGTTTATAACTTACCTATCATTTAACTCTTGAGCAATTGCTAAGTGCTTCAAATGATAATCAATGGCCTTTTCATAGTCCTGAAGTAAAGTGTATGTGTTTCCGAGACTGTAACAAGACTGTGCTTCTACAGCTCTGTCTTTAAGCTGTCGAGCCAAAAGTAGTGTCTTCCTGAAGAAAGAAATTAATTCTTACATAACTATTATTTTTATTTTAAGCTATACTAATCATAAAATAAAACTCTCATTTTTCCCTCTCTGCTTCTTTCTGCTGCCTTTAAAGTAAAAGTGTTTTAGAGCCTAATATCCTGTACTTTCCCTATTACTTTTAGACCAAATGAAGAGACATTTTTGGAACACAAAAAGACAAATTGAGACTTTTAGAATAAATGTGAGAGCCCTAACAATTTATTGGAGAAAAGGAGTTTTGAAACATGAGATCAAGTGCCCCTAAAGATTAATAAAGTATTTTTAACATTTAAAAAAATTTCCCATTGTATTAGTGATTACTTAAATTAAGAGGCATTTATTTGTCCATGTAACTCCTCTTTTTCAGTCATACTATTACCCTTACATTTTGTCAAAAATTTAAATACTTAATTAATATTCTTATGTGTAGGCCACTGGCCATCCATTCATGAAAAATACTAAACACTGCATTTAAACTAACTAAATTCCACCTAACGCATGGCATTATCAACGAGAAGCTAGTATACTGGTTAAGAGCGAGGACCCTGGAGCTAGACTACCTGGGCTCAAATCCCAACTTTGCCAGTTATTAGCTGTGCCAACAGGGGCAAGTCACTCAAACTCTCTGTGCATCAGTTTCCTCATCTGTAAAATTGGGAACACACTTTACAGGGTTTTGTTAGGGTTAAATGAATTAGTATATATAAAATACTCAGAATGGTATCTTGCTCAGAGAAAACATCATATAAATATTAATACTCGGTTATTACCGGTGCTTAAACCTACAGATGCTTCTAGAGTCAACACATTTAAATGGCTCTTTCCCATTATTTCTACCAAATAACATAAATACTTCATATCATTTACAACTATATAAGAAATGACTATATAATGTGACAGATTTTTTAAAGCAAACTTTAAATTACATATTTAATAATGATACTTTCAAAACAGTCACCTTGGGAAACTACGAACTTATTCTCATGCTGCCTGTCCTCCAAACATTTTGGGAAGACTTTTGGAATTGTTTTCACATCCTGTGGCACGACCCTTTCTAGCACAGAATTCTTTGAGGATATAGTTGATTTGTAAAGGTCAGAAGTCTTTCTGGAATCAAATTTAATTACTAAAGTAGGTTTATCACACTACTGTTTCGTATCCTGAGGCTATGGATCTATAATGATATATGAGAAAGTCTTCTTGTATAAACCCAAAAACAATTCCAAAAGAGATTTCCAAAATTATTTCTAACCAATATTTCTGGAGTGTGCGTAAAGCTGAATTCTAGTCTGTATATTGGGCGGAAGTTTCATTACGTTGTACTCGTGCTTCTTTAGTCAAATAGCCACCACTCACTCTACAACAGAACTTTTCAATATTTAATATATGCATACCACTTTTCTATGTCCTTTGAATTTAAATTTTAAAAAAATTTATATTTAAAATAAAAATATATACTCTCTTTATAGTGATGTATTTGGGAGAATATTTCATATGTAACTAATCCACCAACAAATATTAACCACCAGTCAATGTTTAAAGCAGTGTGGATGCCATTCTATTTTTTAGATAGACCTAAAGAAATTTTACTTGTTTTTTAGATGGCAAACTACCTAGAAATCTCTCATACTGGATTCTTTAAAAATAAAATACAAATCACTGTGTCTTTGATCCAGTCAAACTGGCTGCTGCCTGAGGCCTGTATAAACTGCTATCCCCACTAACTAGGGAAAATTCCAAACCATCTAGAAAGCACAGATTAGGTAACTTGAAGTCGTCTAAACTTTGCTATCATCTATGTTTCAGTCCTATTGATTGAAAGACTCTGCTACAGAAGAGGCTGAGATTGCCAACTCCTCAGGTAAGTAAATGGGGTGTCTTCTTACAGTGAGTCAAAGGTGGGCAGAGAGAGGGTGGGAGGACAACTGCTCCAGAGGGTGCGATGGGGGAACGATTCAGTGATCACTAGTGGAAATTAGGGCATATTTTTTGTTATCAGGCTTTCTTTTGGCCTCTCTTCAAATCCATAATTGAGTGAAAAAAGCATATACAGATACACACCACATATGCCAAACAGGTTTAAAAGACTAAAAGTTTTCTTTCATTTAAAAACAATTGGTTTTAAAGATAAAAACTAATGAAAATATAAAGGGGTCTATACTGCTACTAAAGGAGCCTTGGTGGCGCAGTGGTTAAGCACTTGGCTGCTAACTGAAAGGTCTGTAGTTCGAACCCACTCAGCTGCTCCATGGGAGAAAAGACCTGGTAATCTGCTCCCGTAAAGACTGCAGCCTAGGAAACCCTACGCGGCAGTTCTACTCCACATTATGGTGTCGCTGTGAGTCGGAACGACTTGATGGCACACAACAACAACATACTGCCACTAACTCTTAGGAACAACAACATTTATTAAACACTATCTGTTAAGTGAGTGAATAATATATTCTTTAATCCTCACAACAACTCCACAAGCAAGGTATTAATAATTTATGTAAGAGATGACAAACTGAGGCTGTGGACCCGAAGGTCATGCTGCTGGTATGTAGCAAAATGAGGTTTTAAACCCAAAGCCTATGATTTACTAGAATTGTATAACTATACATTTTATTATCTACAGAAATATAAGACTAACTTGTAATACTCAGAGGCAGTTTCAAATTCACCAAGAAATATATATGCATTTCCAAGGTTGCTATATGCTCTTCTTTCAGCCGCTTTATCTCCAAATTCTTTTGCAATAAGGAGACGCTGAAATAGAAAATTCTAATTAGATATAGCTATAATAAAAACAAATTGAACAATAATCTAATCACTGTTCAAATCTTTGATGGACAAAATGACCTGGCTCCAAGGCCTTCCATCATACCTGCTCATGAGCTATAACCGCATCTCTGAAGTTGCCAAGGAGGTAATGTGTATTTCCAAGATTTCCAAAGGCACGTCCTTGGGCTGCTCGGTCACCCAAAGCAGTCACTAATGATAGGTTTTCCCTAAGTGATAACAAAAAGTTGTGAAATAATAAGTTTGAAAAAAATGTTATTTGATTTACAAATCTAATTCTTTTTGTCAGCCAAAAAAAATTTTTTTTTAAGTAAGTTTACAGCTATAATGTGCCATATTTTTAAAGATACACATATTATGGAAGGTGCTTATAGGCAATATCTGAGGATACTTTATCAAACTACACAAGTAGGTTTCTTCCCAGAGTCAAGGACAGATGTAATCTTAGAATTCCTATAGCTCAGAAATCGTATAAAATTCTAAATTGACTTCAAATAACTTAGACTAATGGTTGTAATTTCCTGTTTTTGCCACTAAGTGGCACTGGTCTGCAGTTGAAATGAAGGCTTTCACAGGAGGGGATTATACTAACACTGTAACTAGCAACTGATCTAATGGTTTTTCACTTGCTAGCCCATAACTTAAAAACTTGTCAAACTTCCAAAGTTACTACTGGATAAAGAAGGTATAGTAGATTCACAGTTCAGCTGAGCCCACATGACTGCATCAGTGCTACTCACTCATAATAATCCACGGCCGCCTGCAGAGCGTCTCTCACTTCTTCTGGCAATTCTCCTGTGTCCTGAGGACCAGGGTAGCCAAAGCTTTTCCCTTTGGCATGATACACATTTCCAAGATTGTAGAGTGCTCTTGCTTCTCCCACCTAGACGGACATCAGCAGAGTTTACGTTTGCTAATTAGAGGCCAGGTATTCGAATGCTTATCACATACTTTTGTAATATCCTTAGATATGATGGTCAAGGGGAAGAAATGTTTCCACTGACCATCCATGCAGAACTAAACAAATGATTACAGGCAGTCTCCGAATTACTAACAACTTCCATTCCTAAATCTGTCCTTAAGTCAAATTTGTAGGTAAGTTGGAACAGTTAGGTATGGTTCATATCTAACATCAGTCAAACATTTGTCTTAGTATAAAGTGTACCTTCCTATGCATCAAAAACATTAAAAAGACACTTCCAGATACACTAAAGCATCTTTAACATACTAATACAGTAATAATAACAATACTTTCATGCGTCACAAAGTAGCACCTATTTGTTATTATCAACCATTGAATATACCTCAAATTTTCAATATAACAGGCTTTATGGGAGTAACTACGGGTTGTACATAAGTCGGAACATAATCCAGGGACTGCTTGTACTCATGAAAGAAGGATCTCTATTTCCTTTTCTTCTCTATTTAAAGTTTTTTCTTATGTTTTCTTTTCCTTCTATTTGTCTATGAAAATTTTATTTTTTGTCATTAACTTTTAGATAAACTACAAAATAATTAAACAGTATTAAAACACAAAGCAATTACAATGAAAACATCTGGCCTACCATCTCATGTTTCCGTATTACCTTGTCATTGAGCTCTCTGGAAATATCCAGGTGTTGCTGACAACAAACCACAGCTTCATCGAAATTCCCAAGAACTTTTAAGGTATTTCCCAAATTACCACTAGCTTTGGCTTCCCCCAACTGGTCTCCTATAGTCCTGGGAAAAGAAAAAAAGGAAAATGGTATTAAAATATAAAGCAGCCAGAGTGCAGTTAGTTTTCCTAGAAGATAATTAACATACCCCTCAGGATAAGTAAGAACCATTAGCCTTGAAAACTACTTTAAATAAAAATGAAAAACCTACATTTCTGTATTTAAATGTAATTAATTCTCAGCCATTCAGTTAAACTCTAGGGTCATTTCATCACTCTTCATTCATTTAATTAAACTCTGCTCAGCCTAAAGATTAGTTTCCAAAAGCAATACTATTGAGCTAGAACTCATTAAATGTATTTAGTTTTTTTTAACTGAATGAAAACATTTTAGAAGTTAATTTAGGGAGGAAGAATATTAAAAAGCATAAATTAATTACCTTGCAAGAGTTAAATCATGATGATGGTATTCTAATGCTTTGGCATAATCATGCAAATAGAAATAAGCATTGCCCAGCTGGCTGTAAATAGCGCTAAGTGTTTTTAGGTCTTCAGTTCCAACTTGAACTGCAGCTTCAAAGAATGACACGCCAGCACGGCAGTCTCCTGATTTACAAAGACGTTCCCCTTCCAAGGCTAGTTCTAGGCAAGAAGCTTCCATTCTACAAAATTATACAGGACAGACATTTATAATATAACATTACAATTGCATCACAATATTTTTTAACTTCCAGTAATAAAATTTAAGTGTGAACTATGTATGTGGCTACTCTTGCTCAGAACAGCTGCCTCTGTAACGGAAGTATATATATGCATTACTGATAACAGCAAAAGCTAATGTGCCTATTCACATTTCTCTGCGTCTCAGAGGTCTGTTATATAGGCTTGCTAAATAACTTTATATGTGGGCTTATATTCAACTGGCCCGCCCACAGCAACCCACTTTACCAGTGAGAGACTCTAAAGCAGTGTTTCCTAAATTGTTTGAGTAGTGGCAAATCTATGGATTTCTTGAGAGTTTCGGGAGAATAAGGGGTGCCTGGGAAGGTGAGGTCGGGTGATTAAGACTCTTCTCTATCCAAGTGATCTATCCATCAACCCCTCCCACCATCTCTCTCTCTGTCTCACACACACATTTACACACACATACACATGCACCCCTTCTTCTACCTCTACATTAGAAAAAGAGCAAGATATCTTCATCTACAAGGCACATTTTTACAACAGAACTAAGTGTCAAGAAACTTTAAGTTACAAAGCAATGATTTAATGATTTTCAGAAATTCTAATTCTCAAAAGTCTGTCCTTGAATTGAAAACGCCAGAAAAATTAAGTCACTGTGAATACATTGTGGGGGGGCGGGGGGATCTGACACATCAGGTTCCAATACCAGGATTGAAGAGAGAGACCTATCACTGAAGTTGCCATTGTATTTCTTCTCAAACATTTCATGATTTCTGCTCTGTCTAAAACCAAGACCAAACTCACTGTTATTAAGTCAATTCTGACTCATAGTGACCCTACAGGACAGGGTACAACTGCCCCATAGTTTCCAAGGAGCGGCTGGTGGATTCGAACTGCCGACATTTTGGTTGGCAGCTGTAGCACTTAACCACTATACCACGAGGGCCCTGTCTATGTACTAGTTATCTGCTTAATGTGTTTCTGTAATTTGGCAAATTGTCTTTAACTTGGCATTTAAAATAATCTAGCTTCATCCAAAGCAGCATCTATGAAACTGAGTTTGATGTAGTATTTATATTTATGTTCTAATACACATTAAAACAAATATGTAACTATTAAAATAAGAATGTGAGTAAAATCACCTTATGTACCACCAGTGGTATACATTATCGTGGTCGCTATGAGTTGGAATTGACAGCTATGGGTTTTTTAGCTAGCTTTGAGCAACTCTAACAGAACACACACCCTCCCATTGCCATTGAGTTGAATCCAACTCGTAAGAAACCAACAAACCCACTGCTGTCAAGTCAATTCTGACTCATAGTGACCCTACAGGACAGAGTAGAACTGCCCCATAGGGTTTCCAAGTCTGTAAATCTTTGTGGCAGCAGACTGCCACATCTTTCTTCCACGGAGGGGCTGGTGGATTTGAACCGCCAACCTTTCAGTTACCAGCCACTTTAACCACTGCGCCACCAAAACCAAACCAAACCCATTGTCAAGTCGACTCCGACTCACAGCGACCCTATAGGACAGAGTAGAACTGCCCTATAGGGTTTCCAAGGAATAGCTGGTAGATTCAAACTGCCAACTTTTTGGTCAGCAACCAAGCTCTTAACCATTGTGCCACCACAGCTTCACTGTGCCGCCAGGGCTCCTTATATCTGACTCATAGCGACCCTATAGGACTGAGGAGAACTGCCCCATAGGGTTTACTAGGCTATAATCTTTACGGGAGCAGATCACAGTTTTTTCTCTTGAGGAGCCGCTGGTAGGTTTGAGCACTTTAACCACTGTGCCACCAAGGTTCCTTTTTAATAGAGCAGTGGTTCTTAACCCTGGCTGCAGATAGCAGAGCTTATGTGGAGTGCTTTTTGGAAACTCCCAATACTGGGTCCCACTCTCTGGGGGTGAATCTGGCCATTAGTATTTTCTAAAACCTCCAGGTAACTCTTAATATACAAGCCAGGTTAAGAAGCACTGTTTTAAAATGAAACGTGAATTAAACCACACTCAGCCTAAATTTATTCAAATATGATTATACTTTTGTGTATCTAGTAGTAGGTTGACTAACATGTTTCCTCAGGCGCTGTTCTTTGAGTTTATAAAACGTCATGGCTCCTTAGGGCCTTAAATTAAAATTGATTGTAAACGTGGAAAATAATTCTAATGAAGCTAAAAGAAAGGTCTGGACTAAGATGAACGAAGTCAATTGCTAATTCAAAGGTTCAAGCAGACTTCTGAGTCAGAATAAGCAGATTTATGCAGCCATTGCTAATAAGTAATTTTCAAGTTTTACATTCAGGTATCTTCTTTTTATAATCAGATAACTTAGACAATGGTTATTACTTGTTCATAGACTAGTGATTTCAGCTTTGCCTCATGGATCTATGCAAGTAATGCAAGTAAACCTAGATTTAACACTTTACTTCAAAATTAGACCATGCCAATTAGCTAAAGCAGGGAAAACTTAGAAGAATATAAAAAGATAAATTCAATCAGAAACCTCAAATTTCTGTATTTGCATTGCTTTACATCATTTTACAATAAGCCTATTTTTGTCTTACAGAAGTAAAAACTTCTTTTAGAACTGTATTTTGAAAATGAGAGATTTTATAAAAGAAAATAATTAAGTATTTCTGTTTAAGATTTTATCAGGTTACTGGCATATTCTGTGTGTGAAGAGAAATGAATCAGTAAAAGATTGACATTCTGACTCTAAGGAGACCTTATGTGTGCAGAGTAGAACTGTTTCCCAGCGTGTGACCTTTAGGAAGCAGATGGCCGGCCTGTCTTTTCAGGTGCCTCTGTGTGGGTTCAAATCACCAACCTTTCAACCAGCAGTCGTGTGCTTAACCGATTTCCGCCACCCAGTGACATATATATATATCTCCAGCAATTTCACTGCTAGGAATTAATCCTAAGAATGTACTTACACAAGTTCAAAAAGATGTATGTAAAAGGATGTTCACAGCAGGAATAAAAATCTGCAAACATCTTAAATGCCCATCAATAGTGTACTGGTTACAAAAATTACATGCCACGACTCGATGACAACAGGTTTGGTTTTTTGTTTGTTTGTTTGTTTTATACAACAGAATAGTTGTACAGCCCTAGTGGCGCAGGGGTTAAAGAGTTCAGCTGCTAACCAAAAGACTGGCAGTTTGAATCTACCAGTCGCTCCTTGGAAACCCCATGGGGCATTTCTACTCTGTCCTGTGGGGTTGCTTTGAGTCGGAATCAACTTGAGGGCAAAAGTTTTTTGTTTGTTTTTTTTTAAATACAACAGAATACTAATGATGGCGCATGAATTCCCTGAGTGGGAGGTACAGCAATAATCACACATAGGAGCATCATCAGTTCAGGATGATGGAACTGTTAGCCAGAAACTAAGGGATACAGTGAAACTGGCCATTCATATGTAAGACATTTAGAAATTAGAAGTTTATAACAGCACTTGCCTATACTCATATAAAGCAGAGAGGTTATCTTCTTCAAATAAATACCTTCGCCACAAATATTTTACCTTCTGGATTTAAACTTATATAACATTATACTGAAACCATCAATCCAAATGATGTTGCGTCCAACAAAACTTAACTATAGGTTTAACTGTGCCATAAGATCTATTAATTTTTTCAAAGGAGTTTTACATAATTATCGTTAGAAACAGTGGTAACAAACTGGAATCCTGCTGCTATACGGCTGTCCTAAGGCCACGGAGCAGGACTGCCCTATATGAAAAACTACCTTAGAAAAGTTATTTCAGTAACTAACACTAAATAAAGTCCCAAACTTTCTATTTTATGATTAATTCTGAGCTATATTATGGCTCTGATATATTTTATTGGAAAGGAAATAAAATATTCTGGCAAAATCCAAAATACTTCAATCAAATATACCTAATAGCAAAACTGTTAGCAACTAATCAGGGCAGGTTAGTTTATAAATTGTTTAGAAGCTCATTAAATAGTAACAGAGAAAGTAATTTCATATCCCCTCTGTCTCTATGAGAGAATAGAATTACTGCATTTGTTTACCAGTTGGGTTGAAACAAAGAAAATACCCAGACTTAGGAGGCAAATCAGGAAAATACCTCTCCTTTAAAACATATCCCACACACAAAGGCTCTTTTATTCTTCCTAATGGTTTGTCTATTTAGCTGTATAATCAAGGAAAGTGCTTTTCTAATAATGTAAATAAACACAGCACAACCATCCTTGACTGAAATGTTTTCATTTTTACTAATAGAACATTTAGCTATAATTCCTCACTTTCTACACAAACACGTCGTTTTAATTTTTATCTTTTTTTTCTTATTTTTTTACTTTCCTTCTACACTAGATTTTGACCTTTACTACCTTCTTTACCGCCTTAAATTTGGTTTCTTGTGTTCATAGTACATCAGTGAAAGTAAGAGGATGAAAACCTTGATACTACACCATTTAGAATGATTTAATAATACCTATTATGTCCAAATCAGACTCTCTCTCAAAGGGCTTACACACTATTTAGAAATAAATGAGAGGATTCAGACTTAAAATTCAAAACAAGAGACTGCTCTCCATCTTCTGTGGGCAAGATATCTTCTTTTTCTAGCTCTAGCTCCACTTTCTCCATGTTCTACTTGGGCAAGGACCTTTTCCACCACCAGTCCTAGCCCCGATAAATAATTTTGTCCACTCAGCTTACCACATAGATCTCGTTCTTCTAGTTTATTTTGTAAAAGGAAAAGTAGCACAAAATTATCTTCGTTTAAATTTTGTAAGGTAGCTTAGTTTTCAAAACGATTTTAACATATACAGTGAGACCTCTGAGAGCTGGAACTTGACGGGATTGCCTTGTTTTTCTGCTTCTCCCAAGTCTTCCACCTTTGACAGGGTGCAGTCTTACCACTTTTCTATCACTTGTTTTAGTCGAAAATATTTGAGTTTTCCATATCTGACTGGTTTCCTCCTTACATAGGTTCTGAATTTTGCAGGTTTTACTGTATTATATCAAATTTAATTCTCAAAATAGCCCCCTGAAATAGGTATTATTATTACAGATTGATGCTCAGACAGTAAGTGACCTGCTTAAGGTCACACAACGGCAGACCAAAGAAGTGAAATTCTGTCTTTGTTTTCCAAATCCAATATTCTTTCAACCACTGCACATTACTTCAAACTACTTTTCAGGCAAGAACATCTACCTAGCAAAATTTAAGAACTTAACACCAACACTGTATTCCTTTAAAATTTATGTGTAATAGTCTAATTTTTATAATATGTTAAGTATTGAAATGTTTACTAGAAAGATTTAGAAACTAACTCCATTTTACTATCAGTGTCCATTTCTCTCTACCTTCCCAAATATTTCATAAAGCTTTTTGAAATCCCTCAAAAGGTTCCTTAGTGTCCAAAGAAAATATTCCATTTCAAAATTATAAAGTCACTGTGGCATAGAAACTCTTCCGGGGATAAATGAGAACCTCCACAACGGAAGAACCAGAAATGTTTAAAACATAACATGCTAAGCAGTATTTACCAGAGTAGAAGAGTAACTTCTACTAGGCTATGACTCCTAACATAAAGGGTACAAACCATTCCCCTCACTTATACAGCACAACAATCTGATCAATATACAGAATTATGATCTTAGAGCACTGACAAAACCAGGGATGTGTATGGTATAGTATGACTAAAGACAGATTTTTAAAGTTTCCAAGGTGAAGTCCTATACCAATATATAACCATGCTTGACCTGTGTCATGGAAAAAGGATAAATCTAAGATCTTCCTACAGGCAGAGGTACAATCATTCCTTCTTATCTACTGCTCTTACTATATTAGGAAGCATATACTACTCTTCGAAATGTTCAGCAAGACATATAAACAACTCATTGCGTTCATTTGATGGTTATGCCTGAGTCCAATAAAGTTTAAAGGACATTCTATCAAATGTGGACTATGTCCCAAAAAACATGCTAGGCATCATGGCTGCACTGAAGGAGCTAATGGTCAAAGAAGAGAAAGGCAAAGGAGGAGGAGACAGCCATATAAACAGATACTTTGAATTTTAATATCATAAGGGCTAAGAAAGATAAATGCACAAGATGCTATGTGCGTACAGGGAGGGTACACAGCCAAACTATGAAGTTTAGAAATGGTTATCAGGAGGAGATCATCTCTGAGCTGAATCTTAAATGTTGAGTAGAATTAGCTAAGCCAAGGAAGTGGGAAGGACATTCAAGGCAGTGGGTATAGCATAGCAAAGGCACTAAAACATGAAATAGCACATGTACAGGGAACCAGAGCTCAAATTACAAGGTAATGACTAGCAGGAAGTAAGGCTGAAGGAATAGGTAGAGATCAAATAATGGAAGATCTTGTGTGCTATGTTAAGCTTGGCTCTGCCACTGTAAGGCATTAAACAGAAAGGTTACATGGCTAGCTCTGTGTTTTAGACTGAGCTTACTAGTACAAATTTAAAAGAAGGATTTCAAAAGGATAAGAATGGAGAATAAGGGTACTAAAGGTGCTACTGCAATAGTCTGGAAGGAACATGTTCCTCCCCTGAACTATAGCAGTAGTAGGGAGGATCCAGATGAGAAGATGGACCTGAGAAACACTTAGGAAAAACTGGCAGGACTTCATGAGGGTGAGGGCATTTCATTAATCAAAAGTTCACTTTAATTACATTGAATGTCTTCATTTTCTTTTATTTGAAACTTAAAATTTTTAATAGAAATGCCCTCATCTTACCTTGGAGCCCTGGTGGTGCAGTGGTTAGGAGCTACAGCTGCTAACCAAAAGGTCAGCAGTTCGAACCCCCCCCCCCAGCCGCTCCTTGGAAACCCTGTGGGGCAGTTCTACTCTGCTCTGTAGGGTCGCTATGAGTTGGAATTGACTCGACGGCAACAACAACAACATCTTACCTACATAAACTTACTTGGTACCATGCCCTAACATGACAAATCTCCTCGCTATTTCCTAAGCATGTGTTAAGATGTCTAAGATTTAGCAGCAAATACCTTCACTCATTAGAGATTTTGAATTCTAGTCATTGTTACAAAGCTGTTTATTAACTTATAACAGTCTTGATAACGTATTAGTATCTAATCATCTTACAAATAATTGTCTTTCATTCCAATATTTATGCTTATGTTTATTTTATGGTTTACAGTACTCATCAGAACTTCTAGAACAAATGTTAAATAATGGTGACGCAGATATCCTTGCTTTGTTCCTAACTGCATCAGAAATGCCATTAAGATTTTATCACTAAACATTAAAGTGGCTATTGGCTTATCACGTTTAGAAAGTATCTGCCCATTCCAACTTTATTTAATACTCGTTCTTTAAAAAGCTGATTTATAAAAGATTACCATTTAAAAATTAGAACACAAAAGTTAGGTCATTCAGCTGACACATACAAAAATCCACCTTTTACCCTCAAAGATTTTTATATTTACATCATATAAACAGTTACAAAATATAAAAGAACATTTCATAAAAATTCTTCCAGAGAACATTAATAAACAAACTATAGTATATAATTGGTCTCTACTACCATTTTCCCATAGAAAGAGTACCAAACATTATAACAACCACAACAAAAAGAACATATTATTAAGAGAAGGTACTAACTATGGCTGGGATATTTGGAATATTTTCAAATTTAAATTTGAAATGGCTTACCATTAAACAAATGTTTAAATAAGGGTTAAAAATCACCTACTAAGAATGTAATAGTCTTACCTGTAACGAACATGAAAAGAATGGTCTTCCCTCATGCTTATCAAATTTTCCTCCATTGAGTCATATTATAAACTGAGTAAAATATGAAATTATTTTATTTTGTCCCAATCCAGTTCTTTACAATGTAGAATTATTTGCAGAACATTGTCTGGTTAGTATATCAATGAGTTGGTGTTAATATATCCTAAGCTCCTGCTTCTTCATTAATTATGAAAGGAGGTCAATGTCAGACAGCTTAAAGGTTCAAAATGTGTCCCAAATCCTTGCATCTCTGGCCCTTTCAGCAGCACTTCAGCAACATTTCTGCAAAAGGAATACAAGATGCTTTGCTTGAAGTCCTATTTTCAAAGAATAACCTACAGTAACCCCAAGCTGTACATAATTACACAGCTAACTCCACAGAGTTGCTGTCATGTCAATTACTTGAGAGAAAGAACAGACGGCTTAACTGTCACCATAGGGCTTCTAAACAAGGATGTGACTACATGACATGCTTGATAATGGCATTTTAATTTTTAGAATTGGTTTTTAAAAATAATTTTATGTAATATCTTCTATTATAAACAGAGTGATATGTATCATATCAGTATCTAAAAACAAAATTATACTTCAAGCTTTTAAAAAGTGCTATAAATAAATGAAATGAAAATTCAATAATTACTTGAACAAGTTAATTCTAAATAAACTCCATAAATTTCTTTCTTCAAAGAAGATATCTGTGCTGATAATTAGGGTATAGTTGTACTCATCTGCTCTTGAAAAAGAGGTCTTTAAGATGTTTTTATGATATTGAGTAGGTACAAAACAAATTTACAAAATATGTGCACAGTAAAATAATGACACCATTAACATTTCTATAACACCACCCAGTTTAAGATAAAGAACATTACCAAGGCCTTTGAAGTCTCCTGCGTGCCCCAATATAACTTATCACCTTCCTTTAACCTCTGAGGTAACCTCTAAACTGAATTATATTCATCATTCCCTTGCTTGTCTTTATAACTTTACCACAAATGGTTGTATAGCCCTAAATAATATATTGTTTAGTTGTCTATGCTTTTGAACTTATATAAATAGAGGACGTGGAATCAGGGATATCATTGCTGATGTCCGATGGATCCTGGCTGAAAGCAAATACCACCCCAGAGATGTTTAACTGTGTTTTATTGACTATGCAATGGCATTCAACTGTGTGGATCAGAACAAATTATGGATAACACAATTTGAAGAATGGGAATTCCAGAACTCTTAACTGTGCTCATGAGGAACCTGTACATAGATCAAGAGGCAGTCGTTCGAACAGAACAAGGGACTACCGCATGGTTTAAAGTCAGGAAAGGTGTGCGTCAGGGTTTATCCTTTCACCATACTTATTCAATCTGTATGCTGAGTAAATAATCCGAGAAGCTGGACTATATGAAGAATGCGGCATCAGGATTGGAGGAAGACTCGTTAACAACCTGTATTATGCAGACGACACAACCTTGCTTGCTGAAAGTGAAGACTTGAAGCACGTACTGATGAAGATCAAAGATCATAGCCTTCAGTATGGATTACACCTCAACATAAAGAGAACAAAAATCCTCACAACTGGACCAATAAGCAACATTATGATGAACGGAGGAAAGATTGAGGTTATGAATGATTTCATCTTACTTGGATCCACAATCAACACCCATGGAAGTAGCAGTCAAGAAATCAAAAGACGCATTGCATTGGACAAATCTGCTGCAAAAGACCTCTTTGAAGTGTTAAAAAGATGTCACCTTGAAGACTAAGGTGCACCTGACCCAAGCCATAGTGTTTTCAATTACCTGTTCTTTATAAAATGGGGCAGAAGAAGAGGTAAGGCAATTATGCTAGAATTTAATTTAAAATTTCTCTCAGCCATGAGAACATATAATGACAATTTTTACTGATCTTTATAAATATGTTCATTTCATACTTATTAAAATATAAACATGTAGTTAAATTAACAAATGTATATAAAATGAAGTTCCAAAATATCTTTACTTGATTAAGACTGCACAGAGAACAGTTTTTTAAATAATTAAAACAAGCAATAAGACTGAGAGAATGCTATTCAGTATTTCACTAAGGACAATTTATAATATGGTTTTACTATTCTCAAAAGAAGTGTATCCAAAAAAGTCACTCCTATATTACAATCTCCATAACAATTACTAAATAATATTACTTATCTTAAAATCATTCACTGAATGAACAAGCAATTCTTGACTCAATGATTCATGTTGCAAAAACTCTATAACAAATTTAGTTACAATGTGTTCACTCATGCTCCACATTGTTGTTGTTATTATTGTCATTAGCTGCCTTCCAGTCACCTCCTCCCCACCCATCATGGCTGATTTTAGGAAGTATATTTCCCGCCTTTCTTCTTAGTCTATCTTAGTCTGGAAGCTCTGCTAAAGCCTGCCAGCATCATAGCAACACCCAAGCCTCTACTGACAAATGGGTAGTGGCTGTGCTTGAGGTGCACTGGCCAGGAAGTGAACCCTGGTCTCCCATCACTGAAACTACCACTGCCCACATTACATGGAATTAGCAAACACACTTCATATTCAACACAGAGTTTATTTACTACTAGTGTAACACTATAAAATTTGGGACAAATACTAAATTATGAATTTGTTAATTAGGATAAGAAAATTTAATGACAGAACTGGGAACTGGAATGGAAAATACAGGTTTGAAAGAATACTGAGAGGTCATCGAGTTTGACCTCCTACCTCCATTAAGACTTACAACTAGCAATTTGCAAGGAACACAAACCTCCCTTAATAGCATCTCTCAGGTTTTAAACAATGCTGCAAACACTTCACTGCTAACAAAATGGTTAGCTCACAGCATCTTGTGGTCTGACTGTAGAGAAATAAAAAGAAAGCAATCACTTTTTCCATATCCCAGCAAGGGACAGAAGCTATACAAAGATCAACCAGTATATAACTCTGATTGCCTCACGTTTAATTACCTGATTAGAAAGTCAAGTAGGTGGACTCCATTACATGGCTAGGTGGACTTCTAGGCTCTGTCCAAGGTATGCAAACAGAGTAGACAGGAAAGGTTGGCTCTTAAAGAAACAAAGGCCCTGCTTTATTCCACTGACTATAAAAAGTTTGCAAACTAGGGAATGAGGAAACTGAAGGACAGACAGTTACATTTATATCTTTTGTTCTTCTTTCAATTTATCTAAACTATTTGTTCCTGTCTGCAACTTAAAAGCTAATCAGACAATAAATAAAGTTTATTTTTCTTGCCTCCAGGTTAGATAACTTAAATTCTTTAAATTTCTCTTTCCCTAATAATTTCCTCTAATGTACAACACTCACATTCTCTAAATCCCTTTCAGCTGTAATGTTTCAAGTCAGATACAGTAGCCCTTTATCAATTTCGGCAGGACTAAATATCAATGAAGAATCAAGAGCACAATTAAAATAAAGTTCTGTTATGTTAGAATTCAGGTGTACAGGTAAAAACAAATATACAGCACATAATTATGGGGGTAATAAAGTAGGATGCCAAAACATGCATTTCTAAAATAAATTCAAGTAACTACCTCAGATAAACTGGTTTTTTCTCAAAGTATGTATCTGTACATAGACCTAATTTATTTTTAGATGGACTAAATATGGATCTCACCTAATCCAAACTTCTAACTACATTTTATCGAAAGATACAGTAGAAATAGGACAAAGAGTTATGATGGCAAGTATAAGGAACAATACATGTAAAATCAAGGGCAGGAAAGTAAAAGTAGGAAGCTAAATATAGGAAAAGAACATGAGAAGAGTATAAGAAAAAGCAAAAGGTGTAATAAACACAGCCCAAAAGACGATAAAATTCAGAGCTTGCTTTAAGCATGGCAGGTGTTGAGAAGCCAGTTTAAAAGTGAGGAAGTATACTTTGGCAGCAGAATAGACTACTGATTTGGGAATCCAACTAGATGTGAGAAGGCAAAAGTCTAGAAATAACAGACAGCTTTTGAGATTTCCAATCTGAAGGCAGGTGAAATGGTAGCACTCTCCACAGTGAATGACAAACTGGACGGCAGGAGTGAGACTTCAGAGATGAAAAAAATGAAATACTTATATCAGACTTGTAGTTGGTGGAGCACTATATGCACAAATACTAGCGGAAAGAAAAATAAAGGTATCAAGCGAGAGATAATTTGAAATCAGATAAAATGTACAACACTGATAACTGGAGAGGGGTGTGGGGTAAAAAAAAGGAGAACTGAGTAACTGATACTCTGGAATTTTTGCACATCTTTAAAACCAAAATAATAATAATAACAGTTACCAAATACACAATAAATGAGGTATGAAATGTTAATACTGCAAAAAGTCTGTGGCAAAAAAGAAATCCCAAAAGGAGAAAAAAAAAGGAAAGCAATACATAAAAATTGATTTTTTTATTCAACCTGGTATCTTTAAGCCAATATAATCAAAGTGTTGCATAATACTGTAAGGAGGAACTCAAGATACTATAAAGACCCTTAACTGTCTTCTTCTATATTGTCAAAAAGGATTATGTTAAATACAGTTTTAGTGTTAACTGATACTGTCATATTCACAAAATGTAGATTAAACAATCCCGAATTAATAAAATAAACTTAATTATATTGATCAATTAAGTAATTATCCATTCTATATCATTCTGCAGAAATGGGAATTTACTACAGATTATGCTGCAAAAACTTTTATCAATAAAGTTTTCCTTAAGTAAATATATAATCCTATAATCCTAAAGTATATACTCCAGTTAAGGTCAAGTCTTAATTTACTACTAATTTTTATATTTGTAAGAATCAGTGTTCAGTCTGTGAGGTGCTAGGCCAAGTTAGTTTAGAAAACAAGTATAACTAACAGAATGATGAGCTAAACAAAACACATTTTATTATAATAATAAATAAGTTGCTAGTGACTCTCAATCAGCCAAATAAGATACTAGAATAAAACTCAAAGGATAGATTAGAATAATGGTTATAGATTCCAAATAAACCTATATCTTAAGGGCACACCACCAGTCAGAAGGATTTCCAAGTGTATATGAAATTTATTCTCCTGTGCCATTATGAAGGATATCAAGTACATGCAAAGTAAAGGCACTATGAATTTTAAACTCTCATTTTTATTTTGGCAGATTCCCCAAATACAAAACTCAGGTCAAGCTATGGACAATTAAAAATGTAAAACAATGAATGTAGATGAGCAACCATTTCAGAGTAAAAGACAATTTTTGTGGTATCAAATAAGAATTACTTTTCATGTTTTTCAAACGTTTACACCTAAAACCCTTCCATTCTAAACAACTAAACTATATAAACTTGTTTTTTGGGAGGTAACATTTATATTTTTAACCATCATATAAAGCTAAAAGTATCCCCCTCCAATTCTGCTCCCTGTATAACCAAAATATTAATAAAAGCCATACATGAAATTTCAAATTAGATAAATACTAAGCCTTCATCTTAGCGTTGTTATTATTAAACAGTAAGAAAAGACCAAGGATATGAGTCTACTTGCCCAGGAAATGCTAAGCATCTGCAGTCCAACACTAGTTTCTAGCAATCCCTAAATATAAAACCAAAAAAAAAAAAAAAATTCAAACCTGTTGCCCTCGAGTCTATTGCAACTCATAGTGACCCTATAGGACAGAACAGAACTGCTCTAAAGGGTTTCCAAAGCTGTAATTCGTTACAGACCCAGACTGCCACATCTTTCTCCCACAGAGAGGCTGGTGGGTTTGAAACGCCAAATTTTCGGTTAGCAGCCGAGGGCTTAACCACTGCACCACAAAGGCTCCCCACATAGGGATACAATAATAAGTACAACACACGCAGCCTCTTAGTATCTTAGGGTTTGGTGGCCCATGAAAGTCAGAAGATGTTGAATACTTAAGATTTTTCTGGGGGGGTAATAAACTAGAAAAGGACTCTTTTTAATTACACATGGAGTCAATCTGAATTATGCCAGTGACTATACTAATCATTAAAAGTGCTGGTTTGTATTTTATGATCTGTTTTCTTTTACATATGTGAGCAGTGTTATTTCTTCTGGGTCGCTATAAGTTGGAACCAACTCGCTGGCACCTAACAACAACAATACAAATAGCTGAAGGTTAATTAGCAGTGTAACTAGTAAGGTTGCCAGTCTTCTTAAAAAAAAAATATATACATATATATACACATACATATATTCTTTTGTAATTACAATCTTTAGTGACTACAATAATTTAATAGAGAATGGAAGCAGCTGCTTAAAATTTTCAAGGACAAAAGAAAGATTATTTTCATGCAACATTCCTAATCTTGGTTACCTTTTCCCTGGCAAAGCAGTTATTGAACCAAAAGTCCTGCTTTAACAAACATTTATTTTTATTTAAGAATATAAATATGTTCAACTAAAGGAAAAGTCTTATTTTTCCCTATTACTGTTTTTATTTCTCAGCAAACTGAAATTCAGAGTTTAAGAACAATGCTAATTTTCCCTCTTATAAGACAGTTTTAAATAGAGATGGTTCTTTCAAACCATTAGTAAAATTAATAACATTTTGAAACACTTTCAATTAGACATTTGCATAAGAAAAATTATTTCTAGTTAATTATTTATAAACACACAAAATTGGATACATGGAAGTATTGTAAATTCAAGATTATAGAAGATAAAATAGCTTTCCCGAAAAAAAAAAAAAGGACATTCTAATTTTCATTCTAATTTTTCATCAACCCTAACCATACTTTCAATGCTTTCCAAATGACAACCCTGGTTACCAGAGCAAGAGATTTCTAGAAAATGTCTGCAATCCAAAACAATGAAGATTTACATTAAGCCCAATTTCTACTCAAAAAAATCTAAATATATTTATTAGCCCTTGCCCTTTCCTATCTGTAATCATTTTATTAATAAATATATATTTAAATTTTATTTATTTATTTATTTATGTCTACCTTTTTTAGGGACTATATGATACATTTAATAGGATCTCAAAGAAGTAACTTCGAGATAAATACACTACACCAGAGGAAAAAAGAGAAAAACTTGTTAGTATGGAAAGTACAAAACTTTGAGAAAAAACGGTTACCAAGTCACCAGTGAACATGTCCTACAGACATATCTTTACTACCAGTGTTGGTTGGTCATCAGCTTAAATCAATCAATACATACATGTGATCATTTAAAAACTCAATAGTGGCATGCAAAAGGAGTGGTCCTTTGCATGAAGCATTGTTCTTGAGTTAGAAGATTAGGGCTCTCCTTTTTTAGTTCACATTCTACAAGTTATTAAAAGTTCAAACAGCATATGCTGTTTTTAAATGTTAAATCAAGCAAAACTTTATCCTTCAGATTAGAAAAGGACTACAGAAAAACAGCACAACAGCATGACAATAAATTAGTTTCTTAACAGAAGGACTTTAAAAGGCAAAATCAGTTTCAAACACATTTTTAAGCAGAAATAAATCCCAAATGCAAAAGGACTATAAATGCCTAGTGAGAGTCCTTAGAGTATGAATTTAGAATTTGTAGGAAAATATATTAAACACGAGTGTCCTCTCCTCGCAAAAACTATCACCATGCAGTGGAAAAATGTTTTTATTTGATTCAATGTTATGGAATGACATGGAGAGAATAAATTAATTCTAACTAAAAAGGACCAGGAAAAGCTTTTTGTGAGCAAGAACGTCTGTACTGCACCTTCAAGGATGGACAGATCTTAGGCAAATGGAGGAAGCCTTCTCTTGTCATCTCACAATACCAAGCACATTGCTTTGCACATAAGAGACTTCCAATAAACTTTTTTGATTCCTTGCCTGAGAAGAAGATAGGAACTTTGAAGCAGCAAAGAATCCTGCAATAGAGAGAAAACTAGACTTTAATACATTTCTGCTCCATAGTAAAGAGTATATTCACATTCCTATTCATGTAAATAACTCAGAAGAGGCTTACTCGTAATTTATAAATATTTTCATAAAGATTAGTACACGGATATTGAAAATGTTGTATAAATTATAAGGTGATGAAAGGAGAATAACAGTCCTAAAAGGAGGATTGAAATAGTTCTGCATAGTTCACAAAAACACAGGCATTTTATAAGATTATGTTCCCACAAATGGAACCCAGAAACTGGAAGAGATTTAAACACACGCTGAAGCAATACAGCATGTGCTTTGGGATAAATCAGGCCATAGTTTCAATCCTAGCAGAGTGACTTCTTAGTTGCATGATCTTGAGCTAGTTACTTATACTCTGGGAGTTGGTTTGAGCACAATGACATTACCTAAGATATGCATTGTGATGATTAGGGATATGATTTATAAAGCACTTAACACAATGCCTGACTCTAGTACTTAACAAAAAGTACTCAACAAAGTATAGTAGTCATAATGACAATAGCTGTTGTATTACAAACTAAAGTATGAGTCTAAATCTATGTCAGGTTTTCAATTTTAAAATTCCAGAGAACTAATTATAAAATTTTATCTTTACCCTGAGACCAGAAGGACTCCGTGGTGCCTAGCTACCATTACTGAACATTTTGGTCAGATTCCATAGAAGAATACTGATCGAAAGGGGTAAAATGCAGAACAGAATTCAAATTCTCATGGACTCCAGACTTTCCTGGAGCCATGGAGGGTGGATAAACCCCTGAACTACCACCCTGAGATAATCTTTAAACCTTAAACCAAAAACATCCCCTGAAGTCTTCTTAAAATCAAACTAGTAAAAAACGTCTGCCTTGAGCATTATGCTCTTGTAGGAACTATCTATATGGGATCAAATAGACAAGAGCAACTCAAAAGATTAGATAGAAACCTTAGAGGGCAGTGAGTTTATGAGAGGAACAACTTAGAAAAAATGGGTGAGAATGGTTGTACAAATCGAAGAATGTAATCAATGTTACTAAATTGTATATGTAGAAACTGTTGAATAGCTGTATGTTTTGCTGTGTATATTCTCTACAACAACAAAACAAAATTCAGAAAAAAATAAAGTGCATGTCATCCCCTGAAAAAAAATCTTTAGAAGTATTAGAAATAATAAAAATCTTAGAAATATTTTATGCTTAAGAACAAGGTCATTTTGAAACTACTATACCCTATCATTGTTGTAATCAGCCTAGAACCAAGTCTCTGGTTTACTAAAAAAATATATTTGAAACAATGCATGCCTGATTTAATAAAGGGACAATACAACCAAACTGCTTATCTAGCCAAAGAGGATTTGGGGGAAATGCTTCTACCACAACTCACACAACTGTTTACTTTGTAACCACTCCTTATAAATAATAGCTGAGAAATAGCCTTGCCAAAACAAGCCCATGGGAAGGTATAAAGAAGAGTAGGTATGAGGCTGCCCCTGATCCTCTGGATCCCACACACCTTACACATCCACTCCTTACGTTGCTTATTCACTTCTAGATCATTGAAGCAAAGCTGCTTCTGACAGTGAGAACCCAAGAAAAACTGGTTATTTATCAGAGGTAATCACACTGGCGGTTATCAGGTCAGAAATCTTCCGTGCACCCTTCTAAAGTGGCTGGTTGAAAATTCAGCTCGGTTATGTTAACTTCCCACACACAACATAAAGAACTCCAATACGTGCCTGACCAAAAGGAAAGCTGAGAACCTACTTCGTTTAACTCTACGGAAGGTTTAAATTATGCATTAAGGCAAAGAAATTTCCATCCTTCCTTATTCGTTTTCTTTAACAGAGTTTCTTTATGTTTTAATAGTAACCAGTTAGAGGATTTTTAACGATAATACTTAAAATTCTCTAACTGGTTACTATTAAAACATAAAGCAGTTACATAATTTCCACTTTTTACTACCTGAAGATATCCTATAGGTTTTCGGGAAAGGGCTTTTTTAAAAATTCTGCGCTTACTACAACTTTTTGTAGCAACCACCAATTTCTATGGTAAATCAAGTCGGTGCAAAAAAAAAAAATCACGAATTAAAATATGGTAAGCGCAGGTATTTACTTGACTAAAGTTTTGGACAACAAACGCACGGACTAAAAATGAACGCACAGTGCTTCAGAATGAATTCCACAGGGATTCGGATTTTTAATCTACTGTTGGTTACATTCCGATTACGTGAGACGTCACTGTATTCTACTATACTTTTCATTTAAAAAAAAAGATACTAGGGAACGAAGTTCTTCGGCTTTACTCTCATTTAAAAAACTTAAGAAAGTAACTGAGTATTCGTCCAAGCGGCGTGAGCTGCTTCTCACCCGAGTTTCTGGCTTCTCGAGTCGGGTCTAGTCCCGAACCCCCAGCCCGACGCCCTCGACGCCGCGTCCCCGCAGCGCCCACAGGTCAGGGAAGCCCGGGGCCCGTCGACGGCCCCCGCCTCCTCCGCCCCGCATCCCGCTCGGCCCGCCCGAACAAAGGTCGCCCCCAGATCCCTGGTCACAGAACCCGACACATATACGCACACACTCGCACCCCTCCCTGTCACCGCCCTCGTGAGGAGCCCCCAGACGCCCCCAGCCTCCGCGCCCCGCGGCAGAACTCACATCCCGCGGGCCGGCGGGTCCGTGGTGCACGAAGTCGCAAGAGCGGCCGCTTCAGGCGACAGGCGGGTTGCTGCGACCCCTCCCCCAGGCGGGTGGGCGTGCCGCGGGCGCCTAGCCAGGCAGGGGCACCGCGGGAGGCCGGCGAGCACCCCCCGTCCCTGCCCCCAGCAGATCACGTGAGCCAGAGCTCCGGGGGCTCTCTTCGCCTCTGCTGCTGTCCGACCGCCGCCGACCGGACCCGCAGCGCCGCCCGCACTCAACGTCTTCCTTCCTCTGCGCCTGCGCCGCAGCTTCAGTCGCTCCCATTCAAGCCGACACCGCCCCGCGTCTTTCGGACTGGCCAATGGCCGGCGACGGGGGCGGGGCCGGGCTATTTTGTGGTCGCTGTCTCCTCCCTCCCGGTCGTGGGACGTTTGGGTCAGGCCGACTTTTCTCTCCGCTGCTCTGACACCCGTCCTCAACCACCACATTGAAGTTACTTCCCTGTCATCTTCTTTCTTCTTCAGATACTGAAGAGTGGAACAATAAATATATGTTGCAGATAGAGTTCTTCAGAGAGGGTCTCGCCTGGACCCGTTTAAAAGATGGGACCGCCAAACAAGTGCCTCCTTCCCTTGAGGCTTAGTCCGGCCTTAGAGAATGAGCGTCCCAAGCGGCATATGCGGGATGTTTAAGAAAAAGAGGGCTCTGTGAAAGGAACAGAGGGACCCGTGTGAAAATCTGAACAAGGCAGCCTCAGTTCTTGAGGCTGTGTCACAATTCTGGCGTTTCCAGCTGTTAAAAACCAAACTTTATGTTGACGGCAGAATCTCTGGTTCTTAGGAAAATTGGGTGGCAATTTTACTCGGTTTCAGGCAGCTACATTCCAAATACACTGGGAAGACTAAGTTTTATTTCCATTACTTTCCTTCCACATCATGTTAATCCCCAAAATAGGTATCAGTTTGTTCTTCCCAAATACCAAGACTACAGTCTCTGGGCTAAAGAATCTGATGAATTTAAATGAGATTACTTCTCAAATAGATATTTCTCTACTGAAATGAAATTCAAATGTTTCTACAGGCTTAAGGGTATGTTAAAGAAAACTCTAATTCCACTATTTCTCTGAATGATAACCATAACCAGTGACCCAAGAAGCTGATTGAGAAGGTGTTACAACAAAGCACTTAGAATGTCAGCTTTGGCATCACACTAGATCCCCGTTTGAGTTCCACCTCTGCCACTTACTGCCTGGTTGACCTTGAGTGAGTTACCTATCCTCTTTAGCCTTAATTTCCTCAACTGTAAACCACAGATAATAAATCCTGTTCTAATAAGGATTGTTGTGATGCTTCAGTGAAGTAAGGTTTGTTAAAGCAAAGATGTCACTTTAAGGACTAAGGTGTACCTGACCCAAGCTATGGTGTTTTCAATGGCCTCATTGCATGTGAAAGCTGGACAATGAATAAGGAAGATCAAAGAAGAATTGACGCTTTTGAATTATGGTATTGGAGAAGAATCTTGAATATACCATGAATACCAGAAGAATGAACAAATCTGTCTTGGAAGAAGTACAGCCAGAATGCTCATTAGAAGCAAGGATGGCGAAACACTGCCTGGTCCTGCACCATCCTCACAATCGTTCTTAGGCTTCAGCCAATTGTTGCAGCCACTGTGTCAATCCATCTCGCTGAGGGTCTTCCTCTTTTCTGCTGACCCTCTACTTTACCAAGCATGATGTCCTCCAGGGACTGGTCCCTTCTGATAACACGTCCAAAGTATGTGAGACAAAGTTAAATAGTTAACATAGTGTCTGACACATAGAAACTGTTCAATAAATGGTACCTGTTGTCAGGTTCTTATAAACAACAACTGAATTCGCTGTCTATGCTATTTCAGAGGCAGATATTATAATTCCTTCTTGCTCATAAATTCTTCTTGGGTATTGATATGAAAGCCACAAAGGAAGTCCAATGTATCAAATTCACCATGTCCAAAATCAATCATTCCCCCCCGCCACCCGCAAATCTTCTCTTATGCATGAGGCTCCTATCCCTCATAATAGTTTTCTCTATCTTCCCAACTACTCAAGTGGAGTTACCTTTTAAAAGGCATAAATTGTATTATGTCACCTCTCCTGCTTGAAACCGTTTAGTGAATTCCCATTTGATTTAAAATAAAATTCAAATTCCAAAGCCCTAAGCTATCTTGCCCCTGCCCACTTCTCCACTGTCCTGCCTCCCTTCTCCTGGCTCACTTCCCTCCAAGTACCTAAGGAAAACTCTGAGAATGTAGCATTCAATCTGATATTTGAATCTCGAGAAGAAGCCAGCCTTCAAGCAAAGTTCAGGAAAGAGCACATTAGGGGAAAAAAGAAAAAGCTGAAGCCAAGTCTTTAAGGTAAGGACAAGGTTTGTGGGTTTGAGAAACTGGAAGAAGGCCAGCCAGTATGGCTGAAGTGAAGTGAGAGAAAGGAGAACATACAGGATGGAGTCACGCCAGATCATGTAGGCCTTTGTAAGCCAGGGCAATGAGTTTGGACTTTATTTTCTAAATGTTATAGGAAACCACCAGAAGGTTTTAGGCATGGGAGTAACCTAATCCGATTTACCTTTTTTTTTTTTTAAAGAGTGCTCTGGAACAAATCCAGAATTTGAGACATTCTACCTGACAGTCCAGACTCTTCATAAAAGTAAGTGCCATACCACATGACATCCACTAAAAAGGCAATAATAATAATAATAAGGAAAATAACAAATGTTGGTGGGGAAGTAGAGAAACCGGACCCCTTGTGCATTGTTGTGGGGAGTGTAGAATGGTTTAGTCACTGTGGAAAACAGTTTGGTGGTTCCTCAAAAAGATTATGTTGTTGGTGTTAGGTGCCGTAGAGCTGGTTCCAACTCATAGTGACCCTATGTACAACTGAACGA